GCTGAGTGTATCATGTTGTCCATGGCTATCATGCGGTGTGTCACCCCAGCAGTCTGAAGTTGTTCCTCCTCCGTCATGTGTTCTCTGAACATATGTCGTTTGAGGGCAGCAGAAGTGCCATACATCAAGCCACATTCTTGACACTGGAATACCTCAGGGAGTATGTCATGAACATCGTGGCGGCGGCAACTCGACTGAGGTTCAGGACCGGCACTCGTGCCCAAGGCATCCTTGGCCTCAATCAACTGGCTCCTCACTAGTTCACGCCATTGACGCTGTAGCTGGCCTGGTCGGATGGATTCGCTAAGTGAGGGGTCCATCCATTCTCGTCGAGCAATGGCCTTGAGCAGTCTCTCTATCGGATTGGCCAGTCCCAGCCTGCGTGCAAAAGCAATGTTGGTCTCACGTGTGATCATGCTGAACGACTTGGCAATCGCTCTGGCATGTTGGTAGTACACGCTCATCATTTTGCCCGCCTCCATGATCGTTAAACCTAGGCAATCCAGTCCATGCAGCATCGTGGGGAGGATCGTACCCTGCCATAGGTGTAGTCGAATTTTCAAGCGGCATTTCAAGAGGGGTGCCAACCTGGAGTACGCACCTTTGGCCAACCCCAGCCTGTGTTTGTTGGTGTCCTGCTCAAATTTCTGGAAACCAATTTTTGCTCCTAAGTACACATGATGGTCCTGTAGCTTCACGTAGACAGCCTCCCCGTGGATCGCAAACTTCATGTAGCGACCTGGCTTGTCAGTTCTTTCCACAACGTACTTCCTCCTCATACATATAGCTGCTCCAGCACCTCTCAGCTCAAGGATTATGGCAGTCTTGTCCAAGCTAAGCTGCAGGCCTTGCTCCTGCAGGCCGGCCAGAACATGCCGAATGGCACGGTAGACTGCCTCCATCTCGGAACCTGAGGATACCGTCCATCCATAGAAGAAGTCATCCGCATATGCCGCGCAGCATCTTGGGATGTTGAGGACGCCTGACGCATGAAGTCTTTTGAGGACCCAGCCACTGTATGCCGACCACAAGATGGGCGCCAAGCTGCATCCTTGACGCAACCCCCGCTTCATGTGGATCAAACACTCATGCCCACAGTGTGTTATTTTGATTCTCGCCTCCCGATGTATCATCATGATGAGGGTGATCATATAGTCCGGCACCAGGGCCGCCTTCAAAGCTTCAATCAAATCATCCCAAGCCACATGATCATACGCTTTGGATATATCCAAAGAAAGGAGGCACCCTCCTCTCACATGTGCCAGTTTATGTCCTTCACGTTTAGCATGTGGATTGTTAGTCTGGGCCTGTAGTAGTCGCCGAATTTCGGCACATTGTCCAGCCACTCTCTCCAAAGCCTGCCCCATGGATCGACTCTGAACGTATGCAAACTGCGGCACATCCCATAGAAACCGAAGCACATACTCTTGTAATCGACTAGCCACCATCGATCCTATGATTTTCGCCTGGAGCGTCAACAAGTTGATCGGTCTGAGTTGACTCGGCGATGTCATAGCCTTTCCTGGCTTCGGGAGAAGTATCAATTCCGATGTGTTCCAGGACTCTGGCAGAGTGGAGGCTCCTGTCGAAAGTGCGTCGAGTAGCTGGCGATGTAGAGTAGGGACGACCTGATTTCCCATGAGTTTCCACAGAGCCGCAGGTGCACTTGTGGAGGGCATTGCTTTGTTGGCAGCCAGTCTGCCGAGTGCCAGGCTGATCTCCTCCTCTGTGAATTCCACCTGATGTGGCAGTCGAAATGGTTCTCGATCCGGTCCCTTAAACAGGTCTTGGAAGTATGATTTGATCTGCGCAAACTCGGCCTCATGGGATTGCAGGTGCCCTTCCGGGGATCGGAGTTGGAGTCTACTTCTGGGTTGTCTGGGCGCGAATCTCTTGGCTGCCTGAAAGACATTCTCTGAGTTAACGACGTCCAGGATTCTCACAGTCTTCTTGTGCCGGCAGTCCTTGCGGAGTTGGCGAGTCAGGACTTGTAGCCTTGCAGCTTTGGCCCAGGAGTCCCAGAGCTTTTTGAGGCTGGGACCAACTCGGTCCCCGTCCACTGTGTGGTCTTCGTCGCCTTCATGGCGTAGGTCTGCCCGTAGCCTCCACATCTCCAGCACACTATCCCTGATACTATGCTGCTGGTTCTGCATTGCCATAGAGGCCTGTGCAGCAGGTAGGCTTTGCCTGGTTCGATCCCATTCCCTGATCATCACCTCATCCAGGTCAATGCTCACACCCTGGTTCTCAATTGCCATGTTGATCCTCGACTGTAGCTGCCTTGCTTGGTCTGGCTCCTTGATGCTGTTGCGAACCTGGTGTGGCGTGATTCTGCGACCATCCTGTGTGGGTGGTCTACACTTCTTGGGCACCGGTATCCGTGCCTGCAGGGGTAGGTGTCGGCAGCCCGTGGTCGGCACAAAGGGAGCCTCAAAGGGGGCTGCTTTTCGTGATGTCTGATTGTTCAGGTCTCCTCTGGCTATGAGGTAGTCTATCTGTGATCCCTGCAGGTGGCCCTCAGGTCCAGGGGGGATGAAGGTCCGTAGTTGAAGTCCTGTACCAGTCCAACTGTTCAAGACTGTGCACGAGTTCACTCGTAGAATTTCCATAAAGGCCTCCTGGTCTTGTTGCTGGGCCTTTTTGTGTTCCATCACTCCCGGTCCTGCGATAGGGGCTTCCATGACCACTGGAGTATTCAGGTCACCTACAACTAGGCATCCATGTCTGCGTGGAATCGTCCTCATCCACTGCTCCAAATGCTTCCAGACCCTTCGCCTCTGCTTCAGTAGTGACTCCGTCTTGGCCTTCGTCGTGAGCCCAGCCGTGGCAGCCTTGTTAACATTCCAAGCAAACTGGTAAGTGTTCAGGAAGTCAACCGGTGTGCTAAGCATGAGCCTTATGTGCATTGGTGCATGAGTCTCCCTGGCAGAGGCGCCTGGTGTCTGATGTGTGATGTCGGGACGATGCCTGCACGGATCATACAGAGTAGGCCAGCTTTCTCATCTCCAGCCGAATGAACCACATGGTATTGGAGCGCCTTGTCCTCGGCAGGTTTCACCGAGTACTCCATATCCTTGCGCCAATGGGACTCTTGGACAAAAAGCAGGTCAACAGGATGGCCTGTGTCTGCCTGTTGCACCAGCCAAACCAGTAGCTCATTGTATCGCGAGCTGTGCAGTCCGCCTGCATTCCAGCTTACGATCCGAAGGGTCCTGGCTTCTCTCTCATTGCGTAGGCCTGCTTTGCAGGGAGGTTCTTGAGGGGGCTGGCCCTGTTGAAGTTGCCGTAGGTGCATTCTCCGTCCTCTGTACCATGTGCAACCATCTGAGCTTACTCTCGCTCTCTCAATCGCTCTTCGAAGTGCTCTTTTCCTGATCGTTCCTCTCGCGGAGCTCGTAGGTATATGAGGTTGGGCAAGGTGGCGGCTGTCACCTGGCTTCGCCCCAATGTGGTCTGATGTTGTCTGATGTACGGCTCCAGAGCTCCAGCGGTGCACTGGGAGCTCAACCCTCGCATCTGCTACAGTCGCTCTCGTCTGGTATGGTAACATAGACAGCAACATCAGCATGAGCATCCAGCTGCCTATACGCCTATGACTGTAGCCTCGGGAATTGGGACCCGAGCAGCTCTTCCGTGGATTGTCAGGTGGATGGTCAGCTGCATCGTGGCCTGCCATCAACAAGTGGATGTGGGCGCCTTCACTCTGTCTGTGTCCAGCCTTCCTCCAAGGAAGATCACTAGGTTGCGACTTGTAGGCAGGTAACCCGAGGCTGTGTTCCTGGTCTGCACTTTGCAAGTAGGGTAGGGCCGCGGACAGGATCGCCTGCAGATATACAGAGTTCTCGAGGGACCTTAACAGGCATGCGATCCAGAACTGAGGCATTCGAGGTAAGGACACCGGCCATGCGCACAGGAAGGTCTCCGAGCAGTACCTGGTCAGTCGCTTGGTACACAGTGAGTGAAGGTGGATTCGATGGCAAAGGTGACGAAGGGCTCGAGCAAGGAGGCTTATTTTGGGTCGCCCAGCAGATTGTCTCAGTATCAGCGACTGGAAGGCCTGTGCTGCCCTCTGTCGGGTGCCTACTTCAGCTGTGGCTTCAGAAAACCTCAGCGAGCATTCAGTACGGGTCGCTTCGCCTGAGCACATGACTAAGGTAGAGGGTGGGTGGTTTCGGCCCAAGGTGCATGTTGGAGCACACTGTTGGATATCCGGCCTGGAGGACTCTGCACTTGATCCAGCTCCCGAGGTCCTTGCTGGTGTAGGGACCGGTGGTGCATACCGTGACGGCCATGGCTGTCGTCTCGCCCTGGTCTGGCTCGTCGAAGTAGTCCCCGAACTCATCAAGGTTCCCCTCGGGTTGCGCATGCTGGCCGCTGTCTCATCTTCAAGTTCGGCCCTCAAAGCCGCCATCTCCTCATCCTCAGCCAGCTCCGCATCCGTCATTTCTGACGTCTCCACTCCAAATCGCGGTGGCTCGAAGCGCGGTCCATCTGAGCAGCGGAGAATGTTGGGGTGTCGCCTGGTGCTGGCCGATAAGGGTAGAGCCTGAAGTACAAATCCTTCTGTTGTTTTCCAGGCAGCAGGAGGGATGCTGAGTACATGAAATTCAGCACGGCGATTTCCGTTGCGTCGTAGCACTTCGCAGATGGCGTTTGACATTGCCAAAGAGACATGTCTATACTCCGGTTCCATCTCGTACGGAAGGGGCCCCTCCTCGTTGGCCACCATGTGCGCCGCGTCTTCATCCTCTTCGGGTGCCGAGGACTCGCCATCTTCATCAGCTTCCCCGTCCTCCTCTGCCAGGATAATTGGCGGTGGCCCCGTCGGCTCCCGAACCACCTGCCCTAGGCGGTCATAAATAATCCTCGGCTGTGGTGGAGGCGCTGCCTTTGCCACATGCACACCTGTGGCCTCCTCGCCCGTCGTCGTGGCTGTAGTGCTGGCAGCATCTCGGGCCGACTCTCCAGGCTCTTCTCCCGAGCCCGAGTCATGCATCATGTCAATGTACTCGTATTCTCCGGATGAGCTGCTTGCTAAACGTTCAACCATGTAGTTCCAGAATGCCCTGCGACTTACTTGCACTGCTTGCGTCCCTTGAGCCTGCATCATTGCATAAATGTCAAGCTTGCTGAGCAGAAATGCATGTTGCCACAGAAATGCAGCAGTCATGCAGGCTGAATGCAGCACCTGCCAGTGACTTCCTAGAACCCTCATAGGGCACATGGTCATGTCGCTCCAGCAGTCATGGCCACGAGTGGCCTTCAGGACGCCACATGATATCTTGTAGATACTGCAGCTCAACAAGAATGTATACAGCAGACCTGGCAACATGAACGCTCCCAGAGCCTGCTCCACATTCATCGTAGCCCCCACATGGGCACTTTGTCGTCCTAGCTTCCACGCGCCCCTAATCGAGCGCCTCAAGCTCCGGGTTGTGGTGGCGGCAAATGTGCTGAAACATTGCCATGCCAAATTGGAAATTCGACTCAAAAGTCCGAAGAATAAGCTCGCCTCGACCCTCCAAAGCCAGCAAGTGCCAGCCCACACACCAAATCCCGAAGGCCCCAAAGCCCGCTGAGGTCCAGTGTTCTCGCACCATGGCTTGCCTGACTCGCAGCTCCTCAATTCGGAGTCCCTGCCACTGCTTAGTGAGACCTCCAAGCACGTAGTATTCCGTGGAGGTGTAGATATAGTCAGGGGAACACAGCCTGGAGATGTACGTCGGGATCTTGTTATCTCCATGGCATGCCACGAAGTCCATGGGATCCATGGCTCTACTAGCGCCCCCGAAGTCCGAATGAAAAGCCGATCCAGCCACCCCTCAGACCAAGAGCTGAGCCTGTCTTCCCAGCCCCGGGAACCAAATCCACCCCTCAAAAGCCCTTGCAGCGCCCCGAGGGCGCAGAGAACGATCCACTGGCTCATCCACATAGAGCCGAGATGCTTACACATACATACATACATACATACATACATACATACATACATACATACATATGCGTACTGCTGTTGGGGAATGGAGACATTCTTTTGCCAAACTTGTGAGAGCATGGTCTGTGCATGGCCTCAACAGAACCTACATCCCCAAGCTTATACAGATGAGAAAACTGTGACCTGGAGAAAGAAGCAGTCAGCTGATGTGGTCATTTTGGCCATAGTTGTCTCGGGCCATGGTTACTTGCAAAAAAGACCTTGGACCTTTGACACTGCAATACTGAACACATTGGCATCTGCGTGGCTTTGCCAGGTATGCTTCAGTGGTGTTTTTCTTGCATAATTAGAGTACAACCATGCTCCGATTCAGAAAAAAAAAGTGAAAATCACGTGAACTGCTCTCTTCAAGTACGAGCTATGTCTGCGCTACTGTAGCCACAAAATCGCGCCCTGGGGTTCTTCCAGGGCCAGGTTCTCACTGGCACCTTTTGTCAATTCACATGGTTCACAAGGATATGGGGGCTGTCCCTTAGTGTTCCTCTAGCCCTTGCATGCAGTCTTCTGGAACCCCCTGGCGCCTTCTGATCCAGATGCTCATCGACGTCTCAAGTGGTGGCCACGGCCTGGAGCTTTCAGTGCTTTGCAAGTGTTACAGCGCGTTGACAGTGTGGAGCGTCGAGACTTGCGTGTAAACATCCGTCGGTAAGGCTCTGGCCCAAAAAGAGAGAAAAAAAAGTGACAAAAAGCACATAGCTTCTTTCCAGCATGAGTTTGTGAGCAGCAAAAGTTTTTAAAAAAAAAAAAGTGAAAAAAATGTCTTTCCCACCACGAGTTTGTCAACAGCAAAAAAAATTCAACATGTGAAAAAATCTTAGCAGAAGTTTGTTTGAATGGATGTCAATATCCAGTGCAAGGTGCACTTCAACTTCTGTGAGCATACTGGGCAGAATGGCCGCTGCGCTGCTCTTTACTCGCTCAACTTTCTCTGGATCAAAGATGTTTTTACAAACCTCGCATAGGAATTGCCCTCTCTAGGTTTCCTTGTCCTTGCCTTTCTTATCTTTCTCATCTTCTTCACTTTCCTCATCACCTTCCGAGACCTAAGCAGTTCTGAAATAGTGGTCACAGTAGAGTCAAATTCTGCACAGTCAAGGAACCCTCCATGTTCCACATGTGTTTACCAGGGTCCAGCGCTGATCCGGTGAACGAAACGAGACGCACCACGGAAGATTGCACACACGAATGCCGCTCTCAGGCACCCTTGTGGGCAGGAGATGGTTGCCAGCCCAATTTGCCGAATGTCAGGCTTGGAACGAAGATGCAAGGTTGGCGCTAGAATCATCACACCATCAGCGAAGTGTTCCGGTCGCTTTTGCAGCAGCTTGTCTAATTCTGCAGCAGAACGCCCAAGTCGATGTGTAGGCAGGATTGCATTGTTGTTGAGTAGATCTCTGAGGCAATCTGCTACATGGTTTGGTTTCAAGTCAAAATTCGCCGTGTGCAGTCGGACAAATTCTGCTGGGCAAAACATGCTACTTTTGCAGCCAAAAAGAAAGCGTCCTTCTCACGCAGGAGACCTGAAATGGAACGGAGCACTCTACTCGCCAACCGGCCACGATTTGTTCCTAGAAGTGCAGCGCACAAAGTAGTAATTGGCACTGGCGAATCCCCTCTGTGCAAAGCGACTGAATGGAGCGACTCCAACAAAGTATTCCGAGAGCTTGGTTTTTAAAACAGGTCGGCATCCAGACTCTCTCTCTTGTTATGGTTTTTTTATATGTGTTTTAACGCGCCGCCAGCCAGTCTCACAAACCACCCCCATTTTAAAGAGCCCACAGACTCTCCCAGCGCAAAATAGAGTTGGAACTCAAAATGCGCCGTGCAAGCTTCTGGAAGCGTTTTGGATTTTGGAGACCCCTCTAAAATGCACTTTTCTAGAAACCAGACAAAACGGCTGTGGATGCATTTCGTGCCGGGCTGCTTGTCAGCAGGGAATGGCTGGATGAGCATGCCAGTGGACCGCACAAGTGTTTAGTAACGCACGCTTTGCGCAAGAATGTCGGTGAACAAGCTGGAGTTTTTGGCTCGGTTCTGTTGGCGAGGTCTGGTTGCACTTTGGTGTGGTTTTGATTTCTTCATGCGCATTCCCCCGCTTCTAGAAATTCATTTTCTGGAGAAAACGGCTGTGGATGCATTTCGTGCCGGGTTGCTTGTTAGCAGGGAATGGGCTGGCGAGCTGGTCCGTGGACCGTCCGAGTGCTCGGTAACGCATGCTTTGCGCAAAAATGTCGGTGAATGAGCCTGGACTTTGCCTTTCAATCCACGATCGTGCGAAGGGCGTGTAGGCCAATGAGCCTTTCAATCACTACTATCGGCGTGCGGGGCGTGTAGGCCGGTGAGCTTTGAATCACCACTATCAGCGTTCGAATTGGCGCGTAGGCCGATGAGCCATCACCAAAAAAAACTGGAGAAATCGGCTGTGGATGCATCCTGTTGCGTTGGTCGAGCGTGCCACGGAAGACGTCAAAATCGACTGGACCTCAAAACAGCAGAGCATTAGAAGAGCCACCTGCAGTCGATGAGCTCATGAAAAAGGCGCAGATGAGCACAGCCACGGGCGAGCAGATGAATGAGCATTGGAGGGCCACGAGCAGGAGAGCACTGAACGAGTATCGCGACACCGGATGGCATCACAAGCGCCGCGAGGTGAGGACCGCGGCCACATCGCGAGGGCCGTTGGTGACTTTGTGAGGGTCGATGAGCACGATGGCTTCACGAGGGCCGCTGATGAGCATCACGAACCATCATGTGCGATGACCGCGGAGAAGCATTGGAAGGGCTGCTCAGCATCGCGAGGGCCGCTGATGAGCATTACAAGGGCTGCTGCGGATGGCGGCGCAAGTCTGTGGTTTGAGGCTCGCCTGCAGAGGGTCATCAGCAGGCGCAGATGAGCATCTAGTGAGCCGGATGAGCCACGCAGCTCCTCAGCTCGGAGCAAGTACAAAACAATAAAACATGCCATAAAAACATGCAGGAACACGGCTCACACACAGTCTATGGCAGATAAAACTGCACTTCGATACCTGGGAAGTGGATTTAGGGGGTAACGGTCAGGATCATCCACTTCATACTTCCCAGGCTCCACGCAGTGACAATCTCCCAGCGAGCGAGGTTGATGAATAGGGACCTGAGAGGGTGTGTTGGAGGAGTTTCTAGGGGCCAAACGGCGCGGGTTTGTAGCCACGGGCTCAAATGCTGGACCCTACTCCTATAGGAACTCCTACACCCCAACGCACTCGCTGGATACCTGGGATATTTTTTGGGGTAAAGCAATCCACTCCCGATGCTCCAGCCCACCTGTACCCTTCCAACATTCACACAAGGCAAACAACCAGCGCATGAGCTGCAATGCACTGGAGTTTTCCCGCGGTTGGCCTTTTTCTGCCCATATGCTTTCGCCGTACTAGGCGGCAGTTGTGTCGGAAATGGAGCCAGGTGCTCCAAACTCTGCAGCTTGAAGGTAGGGCATTCTTTTAAAAATGTCGGCTTCTGTAACGATGGACGTGCCTGTTTGGTCGTCACTCTTTCGAGGAGAACAAGCTCCACATCCACGTCCATCTCTCTAACTTTGCCTTTCAGTTCTCGCACCTTTCCAAACTGGCTTGTCAAGTTCTTGCGCTTCCTCTCGCTCACCACCCGGCAGAACCATTTCAGTACCATCGCAGACCAGGGGTTAGGTTTCTGAAATTTGCTCTGGGGTGCGTTTGCCTTTGCTGCAACTCCCAATGTTCTCACGACATCCGTCTGGTTCGCCGCACGATTCCGGTTCTTAACCTGCACTAAGCGAACAAAAGGCTTCTTGGTATGCTGAGCCCGTCGAAGCAGGATGATGTCAGCTCCCTGCGCACTGGGTCCGTTGACCAGTACGACTGTTTGCAGGGAATCAAGCGCGTCAAGAATCGCCACGAATGTGTTCTCTGGAATGCCTTCCATATCCTGATTGTCCACTGGAGGCATAGCATACGGCAGATGCTTCAGGGTAGCTCGATTGCCTGTCAGCACTTCTGAGAAGCGCCTCTGGGCCTCGGCCACCACGAGTTCCAGTGACAGTCCGTCCTTTGGAAGAATGGCCGGAACTTCGAATGCAGCAAGCAGCATCTGCTTCAGAGCCTCGGAGGAGTCGAAAGTGGTTTCTGAGAAATATGACTTGTTGCCAGTGGGACAGGCGTGTATTGCTGCAGCTTGTTGAGAATCTGGAATAGCCACGAGTCCCAGCATCACACACCTCATGGCAGCTTCAGGTTCTGGAATATCTTTGCTTTTCAGAAGCGAAGGGTGCATCAGCAGCTTCAAAGCGCAATCGGCATGATCACGAATGGACGTCACGCTCTGCAGGCCATTGAGCATTTTGTACTTGCTCGGCACCAAATAGCTCGTCAAATGAGGACTACGCTTCCATGCGTCACGCACGGTTTCTTTTGCAACGTTTGCGGGTTTCTTGTTGACCCATCGCGCGACCTCCTCCACTAACAAGACTGCAGTCCGTGCGTTACTGAGATATGCCTTCATAGATGTGACCTCCATCAAGTCGTCGTAGCTCACTGCACAAGTTTCACGGGGGAGCATTGCTTCACATATGGCAAGCCCGAAGGTTGCTTCGTTCACGCTGCCGACGAAGACTAGGCAAACTTGCTCTGGCTTTGTCGACACTCCCACAGATGGCTGATATGCCACAGTGCCTGCACCTGCAGTGCCTGCCATGACCAATTGGCCCTTGCAAAACTGCCGCATGTCCTTGTATATCTCCTCTTGTTGTGACGCCACCCCACGTGCAAAATCGAGGCATGTTCCAATCTCATCGATTACAAATACAACATTGCCAAGATCGTCTGGATTAGGGCTTTCCAGCCTTAGCTTCAGGTACGGCCAGGTTTGGAGCAGATACGTCTCAGAACCTGAATCCTACCTGGAAAACACAGTGTATGTTTATTTCTGGCACTGCTGAAAGTTGCTCAATTTTCTGCATATTTACGGCACTGACAAAAACAGCACACAAATTTACGACACTCTATGCTTATTTACGGCACTTTACGCTTCTTTTATGGCACTTTACGCATGCAAAAACAGCAACTTTTGCACGGTGCTGCAAATTTCCTGCCTAGCTTGAAAACTTTGGCACTGCAAAAAGTAGCTGTTTATAATCGGATACTACCGCGGTCCAGGTCGGCCCTAATGTCTCACTGCATGCCAAGAAACCATTTAGTAACAATACCCCCTGGGTCTCCCAAAGCCGACTTGATGCACTTCTTGAATGTGTTCATGACCTTGGCTTTGCACCGGTCATCGCGATCATCTTTGCTTTCGGCCTGGCTGATCTCTTGCGCCTCCTCGGCACTGACGGTCATAGTGAACACCCGAACAGTATCGCCTGCTTCGGCTTGCAGTTGGATAGCCGGCTTCATCACAGCAAGCAAAGTCTTTCCACTGCCACTTTCTCCGTGGAAGGTTGGGATACAACTCTTGCCTTCGGAGTTCTTAAACAGAATCGCTGAGCTATGCGTGCCATTGACGCTTATTTTCTGCGCGTCTGGGACGTAGCCACATGGGGGGAAACTTGTCGGACGGCCATATACCCACACCTTGTTTTCATGGTTGTACTGGACCTTCGCCTCGTCCTTCACGAGGTCACGAAAGGTCGACGCCTTTCAGCGCACGGGCTGGCATGAAACATGCCAACTGACGTGACACTGACCACAAAACAGGCCCGCCCATAGAAGCGTGACTAGTGCATGCCAGAGTGGCCGAAGGGTCGCTTAAGCCTTGAACCGCCTCGAACAGGGAATCAGCGCTCGCAGCCTGTAGCTTGTACCGGTGCTCGAGCTGATCTTGCGTGACTCCGACCAGCTGCGTGCCAGTCATCCCAGTCAGCAGACCAAGTGCCTCAAACAAGGAAAAAGAATGGATGGTACAAACGAAATTTACACCCCTGGCCTGTTGGATCGCAGAAGCGTCGTACTTGGCAGAAACCAGGTTTGCTGCAATCCATGCAGCTACTTGCTTTGGCCCGCAGCTGTTCACATCGCTCCTGGTTACGCTACGGGCCTGCTCCAACACCTGGGCCAGGCGACATCTATAGCTCAGACTGCGATCGGCAAGGACATAAAGTGTGCGTGCGGCCAAGCGACCGATTGGACAGAAAAATCCTCAAGAGCTGACCTCATCGCATCCTTTGCCTTCACATCGACCAGAGTCGACAGCATCTCACCTGCCAGCGCCGTCCCCGACACATCTGGCTGTTCCGTTCCCGCAGCTCCGAGGCCGTGGCCGACCATC